TTAAATATGTAGTCCAAAAACTATAATATAAATATTTTTACTAGACTTTAGATTTCGAATTACCCAAAAATAATCATCATCATAAAATGTAAACGTTTGCCATCTATCTATAAGCCGATAGTATTGGATTTATGTTCATGCCATTACTAATGCACCATTTGCAAACTATTTAGTTTAGCAATAATGTTAAGTAAATATTTGCGTATATATTGGGTAAGTGTTTTTTGCATATTTCTTCTCAAAGTTGTTTGAATGAAGAAGAGTCGAATCAGCTTTTATATTTGGAAGCTTCAATTTTACCAAATAACTATCACAGCTAGACAGAGCAGAGTGCAGCTAAAAGTAGAGCCGAGCAAAGCAATATTTGGCATATAAGACAAATAGAGAAAGGAGTTTTTTGGTTTTTTGCTGAGAAGCGAATGCAAAGCCGACAGCAACTACTGTTCCGAGCTTGAAGTGCACTTTATGCTGCATGTATATGCATGTTGTCGTTGTCGTTGCTGTTGTCTTTGTCGTTGTTGTTGTTGTTGTTGGCATTGTCGTTGCCGTGTTGCAAGTTGCATTTGCATGCCACTCACAACTCACATGTTCTGCATTTTGCAGCCATTTCGACTTTTGTGTTTACGCATTGTCTACTCGCCTGTTCGACTCGTTGCCCTGCCGTGCTGTTGCTGCTCGGTTTTACTCAGCGATTGTTACGCTCTAATTGAAAATATTTTTGTTTGCACTTCATTAAACTGAAATGGCACACAGCAAAGCAATAAACGTGTGAGAGATGCTCGCATTGAAGAAAAACTGCATAAATTTTTATTTAAATATTTCACAGCAGTCTTTTGCACAGCTCTTCTGAATTATTATTATTAATAAAGTTGTCTGGTTGTTGCTGGTGAGTTTTTGTGTTATTTTAAACCAAAATGCAATCATTGAAATGTATTTTATTTAAGCTGCACTTGGCTATTGCATTTTTTTGCATACAATTTTTGGTAGCTTTTTGTATGTAGCTCGAATCCCCGGCGACTTATTGTTATATGCTTGCAACTATTGTGGTTCTCAGAGTGAGTGTGCCACCCGTGCAGCTCGGCATGCTGTTGCTGCTCTGAGTAAATTCAATGGTATTTTGTGCTTTTTGGAACTTTCAGTTGATTCTTTATTGTCAATCGAACAATAACGAAATCATCGGGCAAGTTACGTCAAACGCCGCAGACCCAGCACGGCGAAAACTTTAAGGTAGGCAGCAGCAAGTCAGACAGCCCGACTGACAAGCCCCAGCAGTGAGATTTATATGCCCAGGCGATGTGACTCAATCAATGGCATTTGTGTTGTGTGCAACAACAACAACAACAACAGCAACAACAACAACGATAGCAACGACAGCAGAAGCAGCAACAACAACAATGTTAACAAGTAGACGAGCGAGAGGAACTGAAGATGCAGCAGAACTTCAGACAGTCGGACGAAGTGAAAGACATGCACAGCATTTTGTATAAAGAAATCAAAAATTTATACAAACTTTGCACAATGAATGAGCAACAACAAAGAGTGCGCACCGTTCCATAGCCATGCCATGGCCAGAATGGGAAGGCTGGGCGCCGCCGCATCGACCTCGTTCCATGGCAATTGCTGAAAATGGTTGCCGTTGACGTCCCTCTGCTCTTTGACAGCAGCAACAACAGCAAACGGACACTCCGACTGGGGCCGGCAAGCGGGCAACAAAGGGACAAGGCTCAGTCGCCAGACTTCTCAGGAAGCGTACGGAAGCGTTTCGACTTGCATGTGTGTGTGTATGTGTGTGTGTGTGAACTATATAGCAAAAGCTGCATGTGCATGTGCCTGTGCCTGTGCCTGTGCATGTGCATGTGCATGCGAATGTGCAGGGGAATTAATTAAAAATTCCGAAAATATCCGGCTAGCTCTTTATAACAATTTCTCATGCTCTGTGAACTTCACATCTAGGCCAAAAAGAATCCTTCAGCATTGTTTTTAATGTACTTTGACTTTTAAACCGAACGGTATTCTATTTCCTAAGCTGTAACCCTCAGTACAGACCAGACTCGCTTACTTAAATTTATTTTCCGTTTTAAACGCCCAGCCAAATGCATAAATTCAATTATTTTCAGAGAATTTGGAGTAGAGCGATTAAGCACAGAAATGAAAGCCCACATGGAACAAGAGCTCCATTTGCTTGAAATTTCAAAAATATTTTTAGTTCAACAAGAATACATAAAAATGCATTCAATAGAGAATATCAATGATATCCGCAGGACAATCGTAATTTCACATGTTCCTTTAAGAGACAAAGCTAAATTAATGACCACCCCATGCCTTTGGCTCTTAGCCCAAGCATATTGTAAATAATGCACAAAGAGAATACAGCAAATGAAAATGAAAATGAAAAAAGTTAGAAAGGCCGTCCATTGACCGGAAGCGCTTTGGCCAAGCTTGACGAGGCAATTTTTCAATAAAATTGAATGGAACGCTCGTTAAAAGCAAAACAATTGACCACATAAATTAGCGACATTAAAATGGCGAAGCAGGATGTCAGGATGTGCAAGCGATTGATTCAATTAATTGCCAAATTAAAAAGGGAATTTTTCCGCAAAAGGCCACAAGAAAGAGGGCCAAAATGACAAAGGGCGATATTATGACAAAGTTAGAAAAGCAAACAATAAACGATTTGTGTGCCACTGGCCCCGAATCGGGCCAAATGCGCGCTCGGCTGGATCTGGGCCTGGCCGGCACACAATAGTGAGAGCAAGCGCCCGGGGGAGTCCCTCTTAGACACAATTGAATTTATTATGGCATTTCAACTCGACAAGCATCAATTGAATATAATTTTATCAACGCCCGCCCACTCGCCCATACATACATGGCTATGTGTGCCAAAGAGTAAGCGAGAAAGAGAGAGGGAGACTGAGACTCAATATTTCGAGGGCGGCTCAGTTGCAATAGCCTCATTATTGAACTAAACCGAAGCTATTGGCCCTCAATGGGCCACAACACGACACATTTGTAGACAAGCACACAGGGCAAAGCACGAAAACGACCACAAAGCCAGTTAGTTGGTCCAATGCCCTCGGGGTGTATTTTTCGCCACTTTCACCATTCGCTAAAGTGTTGTATTTTGTCTGCCTTTGACTTGGTTTCTCTGCATCTTTTGCGGCCAAAGTTTTCCACAACAATAACAGCCATCGCACATCACACACGCCTAAGCTCTGCTCTATGTGTGTCAATGTTTTTCTTAGTGTGTTGTACATGATTCTCAACGTTTTGCGATGTTGTCGTGGACTGCGGTATCTATCGCGACTTTGTGATGATTTCAGACTGTTGACATATTTTGCAGGCAGTTTGTGACAGGCTTTCGAAGTGCATAACTATTATTGAATATGTATTTATTGCTATCTGGCATTTATTGAAAATTAACAATTTTAATAATAAACATTTAAGAAAACCATTATATTAAAATTTACCATTTTCATAATTGAAACTTAAAACTCTACACGTATTTTAAATTTATATAGTTTTTTCATTTAACGAGTAAATATTATTGCTTTCTAATCGACGTGTAGAGGAAATAATTGGGGTTACAACAGGGTAAACGTTCTTTTGTTGAAATCGAACAGCTCTCATCTCTCACTTCGTTAACGAGCATACAAATTATTATGACAAATGCAACACCAACTGAATTGATGAAAATATCCGTTGACTGTTACACAAATACGTTACCTGCACTTCCAATGAGCCGCAATATTTTGCGAGCAATATAAACAGGTATAATGACTCGTGGGTTATTTGCATGAAGCTGATGGGATTTATATATAGCACGTTTACATGGCAACAATTGAAAATAATGCATGAGGTATTAACAGGCGTAGCACTGATTTGTTGGTTATTAACATGGCTTAATTAGCCAGTGGCTTACACAGCTTCACTTAAAACAGCTGATCGAACAGCATTAAAGTGAATGTCAAAATGTAAGCGTGCTGTAGGCAGGAGATTTTCACCAAGAGGAAGAGTCGAGCAGAACTAGGGAATAGCTTGTTGTGCCTTATATTAGATAAAAACAATATAGAGCACATATAACGTAACTCTACATACATATATAGGATCTCCAATATCAATGTTTTACACTACAAATACCTACTTTAGTAAACTTAGTAATCTCCTAGTCGAAGATAGTCTTTTTCAATAGGTGAATGTTAAATTAAAAACAAAATTAAGTTCTTTATTTAGTATTCACTTGATCAAAACATAAGCAACTATGAAACACGAATCAAATGAGAATTTTAGAAATATATATATATATACATGTATATATATCGCATCAATAAAATTAAACTTTATTTTAACATTGTACAATTTCTTCCACAATTTGTAAGGATTATGGAATTGTAGAAAATTGAAGTTGGCAAATAGAAGTTTACCTTAGCACTGATAGTATTAAAAGACTTATATGCCTCCCAATATGACTGAGAAAGCAAACGGGGTTTGGGAATTCTCTTTCTAGCAAACTGTTTGGACATTGTTAATGTGAAGAGAGATAGCGTCTGTCCTCCCAGGAATATATCTAGCCTAGCCCGAATAGTAGAAGTTTAACATGGCAAAGAAAACTTCACTGCAAGGCTTAATTGATACTTGAATGCTGAGCACGCGAAACTGGAGTAGTAGCATCAGCAGCTGCAGCAACCAATTGATTAAGATTGTTTACACACGTGTTAATTAGTAGTGGCAGTTCATATAAGTTTATTTAATTTGCCAATTTTCATAACAGATCCTTATATAGCACAGCTCGGTATGCACTATATTAATATGCTATTCCTGGCGTTGTGAAAGATAATAAATACGAGTATGCTCCTATTTAATTGATAGAAGCCAATTGAGTTTTTTCATTGTACATTACTTTATGTACTCAAATAATTTTTAATAAAATACTTTATTTAAATAAATTATCAATATAATCTTTTATATTTAATATTTTAATAACACATTCAAGAGTTGTTCAATCAGAAATTGAGCGTAGTAACTGAAGTAAGATATGGCTGTTTTTATAATCCACAATGCATAAAAACTCACACAGAGGGCACACAACTATTTATTTGTAAAGAAAACATACCGACATGAATGTCTCCAAAATGGCCATCGATGCGATAGCCACGCTGAGCTCGCATCATCGTCAGCTTCAAGGGTTGCCAAGTGCATTGTTGACTCTGCTCTTTGAGATGCTCACCGCAGTGACAGTAGAGGAAAATCTGGGCCAGAATGGAGCTAGTGAATGCAGCATAATGTAGGACCTCCAGCTGGGCTAGATTTTCAGACAGCTGATAGCTTAGCACGCACAGAAGCAGCGACGCCACAAGGAACTGAATGTTGATCAAAGGCCGGAACAGGCGATTCAATGTCAGCGACATGTGTAGAGAGTTCTGGTAAATTGTTAAAATGTTTCGTAAATTCGTCTGAGTCTCCGACAAAGTTTCGCCCCGAAATCGTTTCATTTGGCTCTGCGCTATTTCGCACAGCGCACACAAGTTTCAGGTCAGCGTGCAGAAAACTGTAGAGAGCAGGACGCACACTACGCCTGATGCATTCCACACATACGATACCAAATAGTTGCGTGCAATGCAATCCCACGGATACCTGAAATGGGCCGTGTGCGACTGCATTTGAACCTTTCTTTAAAACCATCAAACTTACTCGCAGCTCCGGCTGCCCGGAGCTTGGAGCGGACATCAATGCTCGCATCAAGGGCAGCAGACAGACCGATGCAGCAGCTAATGAGAAGCAGCTCGCATATAGTCCACTAAAAACTGCTCACGCCGATTTATCCTATCTATGATTTGGCAATCTGCGGATACTTGACTCTCTGCTAGGAAAGAAATAGATAGATAAAATCAATTGCTGATAGGTCCTACTTTTGCTCACATAAGATCAGTGCAACCTTGTAAAGAGCCAACAAACCAATCATTAGCGAGCAGCGGCCGTCGGTCAACGTGTCCATATTTGCAACATTGAGCACACAGAATGCCACAGTGAGCGGCATTAACGTGACCAAAGACATAATGAGGCAGGCAGTCCGATATGAAACCGATCCGCAATGCCTGCCAGCAAATAAATTGATGCTCAGCAGGCGCAAACAGACATCTTGCAACTTGAGAAGGCGGTTCGTCAGCATGATGCAACTGTTCGATTGTGGATGTCACTTGTCAATGTCTGTCGCTTAACGCATGGCACACTTGATGGAACCAAGCGCAGCGACAAAGGTATCTAATTGCAATTTAATTGCGTTTACCTGAACACACACAGACACTTATCCAGCTCCCATGGGCCTAAATTGCGCGCTCATTATACCCAGAACCCATTGAAAATGGTAAATCAGGATATAATGGTTTTGTGAAAAGTATGTAACTGGCAGAAGGAATCATCGCAGAACCCATAAAGTGTATATATTCTTTACCAGGGCGACGAGCTGAGACCATATAGCCCTGTCCGTCTGTCCGTCCTCCCATATGAACGCCTAGATCTAGGAAGTTATAAGAGCTAGAGAGCATGTAGACTCGTATATACCAGTACGCAGTACAAGTTTATCATATTTTTTCGATAACTCATTACATATATTGTATCGAGAATAATCGATAAATTCCATTATTTTTCAGCCTATTTTGAATACTATTAGACTTGGAGACTTCAGATTCACTGGGAATACGAAGAATTTGTAATTTACAGATTTTTGATACCACGCCCCCTTCGCCCCAAATTTGTTAAAAACGTAGTTCAAGTACTTGTGCATGTGCTTTGGAATGTACACACATTTGAACCACAAGATAGTCTTATAACCAAATAAATTATTCAACAAATAAATTCTCAGATTATTGCCCACACTGCAGCGCAGCCCAAGCGCAGTCGCTGCTAACTGCGTAGTCAGCAGAGCGTGCGTGCGTGTGGATGCATGTGTATGTATGTGTGTATAAAAGAAGTGCAGAATGAGTAGAATATCTGCTTGGAGGGTTCAGGGTATCTTCTAGTCGAGCAGTCTCAACTGGAGCCTTCTTGTTAAATTTAAAATTTAATATGGACAGCTCGATAATACCTTACCTTATATTAGCTTGAGGAACCCTGAGTCATGAAGGCCTCTTTAAGCTAAGATTGTTACAGTAAGCATATTGTAGGAGGGAAATGAAAGCCTTTGCTTTGATACGTGTAGTTTTTCCGAAAAACCATTTACACTTGAGAGCGACAATCCGATCTCTACATTAGAATAAAATTGCATTAACAGCACACCGTTGGCTCTATACCCCACATTTAATCCCACAACGCAATGATAGACTCTGACAGAGCTCGCCTTAAAAGCGTATCACAAATCCTGCGATAACATGCTGGGTCTCATCAAAATGCAAATACAGCTTGTTTCGAGTGAGCAAATTCTTAAAAAGTGCCCAAAATGTTAAACAACAGCCGAGTGTTGAAAATTGCGCATTGTGAGCTGCTTATTGTTGTTTGTGCAATAAATCATACTTAATTAAAAACAATTAGAAGCAAATCTAATACTATTTTGCATACAAGCAAAACATAAAGGCTTGACCCCAATCATCTTCCGGCAGACTATGGAGCTTTTCCATACAAGTCTGTTGGCAGCATGTGAATGCCATGGCAAATATTTGGCAATGTTTTCTAGCAACAACAGAGCAAATCTTTGTTACATTTCAAATGTGCAAACATGTTCGGAGCCAGCCTGCCCACACCACAGTCCCATCACAGTCAGTTTGCAGCCATTTGGGCAACTTTTTGTGCATTTACTTTGAGCGCTGGCATTGATAATCTCAGTTTTGTGTCGGGCATTAGAGTTGATTTTGGAAATATTTTAATTATTCAATGTCCCAGAGAAGTTTGGCCAACTGTCCGGCGGTAGGTCGGGTCAGCTGCACAAAGCTCAGCTGCACAAAAATCATGCTCAACAGTTGGTCAAACAATTTGGCAAACATGCAATCATTGGCCAACAAATTCATGCAATTACTCGACAGCATGCAACCACTTACGTAAATGGGCCACTGGTTGACCATGTAGGGCGTGAGCGTGGCGTGGGTGTGGGTGTGGGTGTGGGCATGGGCGTGGCATGCACACAAATGCATGCATTTAAAGGTGGCATAAATTGGAATTAAAATGAAACGCAAGAGCTGACTGAGAAGATTTGACAAATATTGACAGCATAATCAATTTGTGAGCGAAGCGACATTGTCGTATTTGCCTTTGCTCTGGCTTATTTAATTATTAACAATAACATTTTAATTATGCAACTTTTGCGTTTTACGACTGTAATTAATTAACATTTTTTGACAAGCAGCCCGCATAGCTTCATTTTCATTGAAAAAAAAAAAGAAGAAAAGACTTCAACAAAACATAAAAATAGAAGAGAATAGAGCCCAGGGGTAAAATGGACACAGAAACTTTTGCAGCTACTAGTCTGCGCCTAGGCACATAAAGTAAACATTGACACACTGCCACGCCCACGGGCAACTAAAGGAGTTGCAGTTTATACAGTATTTTGTAGCACAAAACTTGCTCGAAACTCAGCTGGCAGCTGAGGCAGTAGCCCTTCGCCCATCCAAATGGGCGCCGGCCAGTGTGAAGTGCGACAACTGACAGGAGCACAAAGGGGGAATGAGTGCAGGGTATGCAGCACCGAAAACTCCCAAGAACTTTATGCGCTACGTGGTATTGTTATCACTATGCTGATATTGCCATTGTTGTTGCATTCACAATACTTTACTTTGCGCGGAGTTCCACGGACTAAATCATTCAGTTGAGAGCCTTGATGAAATGCCGTGAGAAATTAAGGATATTCGAATACGCTTTGAACTACTTATAAAATTATATAATCTTAGTAAATTAATATTAAACTCCATATAGTATTTTTTATTTAAAAGAAAACATGTGGGTTTTTATTAGAAAATCTGAGCTTAATTATGATCATATTCTAAAGCCATTAAAATCAAATTATGAAAAAAATAAAATTAAAATAAAATCAAATAATTAATTATAGATCTTTAGATCTTATATATCTATTTCTTATTAAACTCTGAGCCTAATTATAATTATATATATATTCTTAAACTATTGTAATACTTTATATATAATTGTTCCATTCATTTTATTTAAACAAAAAATCACTATGTACTTTTAACTAAATGAATGTTAAATTTAATTTTTTATATTATGTATTAATCTAATTTGATTTTTTACATATATTTCTTTCCAGGAATTTTTAGCAGACACTTGCTTCACTTCAAACGCCTTGGCTTTGATAGAGTATTTCAAGCTTCGTTCACTCCATTGTATTTAGTTTAATTTGCCATTTTGTAGTTGGTGCTGTTGTTGTTGTTGGCGCTGTTGTTGTTGCTGCTGTTGCTGTAGATGTTGGTGGTGGTGTTGCAATGCTCGGACAGCAGTTGAATCCAAAATGAAATAGTTGATTTCAGCCTCCATGGAATTTGCCGAGCAAGTGCAACTGCAGCCAAAAGTTGGAGCAGCGGCAGGAGTGCAACAAAACTTTGCCGCTTGCACAGGAAGTCAAGTTGGCGTCTCTGCCGCCCAGCGCCAGCGTCTGCCTCAAGATGGAGCTGGAGCTGGAGCTGGAGATGGAGCTGAAGATGAAAACGAACACGAACACGAACACGGGGCAGAGGAAGACGTTGACTGTGCAGCAGTTTACTTAAAATGTTTAGTGTTTAAAATACATTAAAAAGTTCACGGCTGCTATGGCACGCATAGAATTTATGCGAATTTGGTGAACTCTAGAGTGCAAACTTTTTACATTTGCGCCCGCCCAATCAACTTAAATATTTGTTTAGCTCAAGCAGCTGAGCTCTTAAACGCCCACAAACTACACAAACACACACATACACACACATATATATCAGGCATATATTTCATTCGTGATGGGAGGCGGTGCAGACGTATTGATCACCTGTAATTAATACCTGAACGGCGATGTTTGCCTCTTTGTGCAGGCGCACAAAAGCAAAATTAAAGATATTGAATTCCACGAAATGTATATGCACGTTTATCTAAATATGTCTGTCTGTTCAGAGTATAATGTGGCTCCATCTCGAGCACCTTCAGCTATTTTCGCCAGTCATTCAATAAGCTGTTTTCGTTACCCAACTCTTATTTATGAGGAGCTCTGCTCGCGGCCATGGGGGCTAAGGACAATTATAGATATTCAATGGGGGTTGCGCTGAGATTGTAATGGCTGAGAGCTCGCTTCGTGGAAAACTGTTGAATTTGCAAATGACAAAGTCGTATTTAATTTCTTGAACAGCGCAAAATCAAACGAAAACAAAAACCACAACCCACGAAAACAAAATAGGAAAATATTTTTTCGTATAAACAAATAAACATGAACATTTTATTTTTCCTCTTTCCACTGCTGAGTGGTTTCGATGGCATTAAATTACTTTAATACTGTAATAATATTGCTTATAAAACCGTTTACAAATCTCGAACAATTTTTTATTTATTTTCTTTTATTTATACAGCTCATG